CTTAATTTATCGAGTTGTGTTATTTTCGAAGTAAGAAAGCAATGAATCTATATATAAGATGTTTATATAACAAAAAAGTTTTTATCTCTTTCTGAACAATAAAAATATTATTCGCTAATAGATAATAAAAATATGGATATCTATTATTGTATATAAAAAGTTAAGATATGCTTTTTCTTTAATTATATATATTATACCTACATATATTTTACATTTGTAAAGCACTCAAAGGAAAGGACTGTCATCTTGCCTGCCATAAGCTTCAATTGTCTTTGAGATTAAAATTTGTTACATTATATTTTTAAAAATAATTTTAGCGTTATTCTTTTACAACGAGAAATGTATATATATGTTAACTATTTTTTAAAATATTTTTTCTAAAAATGGAAATGTGTAAAAACTGGACATGGACACACAAGTCGCATCAGATTGCTATATTTTTCATTAATTTAATTTTGATTATTGACTAAACATATATTATTGATTTATAATATTAATATGACATAATATAATATAATATAATATAATAATTATTTACAATTCTTAGGAAATAGAAGTCTAACTCTGATAACATAAAGAAATGATTTATTTTATAATCTTCTATAAATTACTACGTTTTATAGTAGAATATTCTAAATTATACTATTATTTAGACTACGAAAATATATGTTGTACTATATGCATTTCTATCACTCTAGTGAAGATATATTTATATTTATAAGATATATTGCTTCACAACTATTATATAAAAATCTTCTATATAAAGTATGCGACATGTTTATTGCATAGCCAGCAATACTGACAAATATGATCCTGATGCTTTCATGATCTATAATAAAATATGAACTTTTTATTAGCTATATATAAAATATTAATTGGAAATTAATATTTTAGAAGATTATGATTTTGTCACCAAGAATGCGTCTTAAGTATTAGAAAAAAAATTTATAAACTTAATGAATTGGCAGAAAAAAATTTATGTAGCAACAAGTAAATTTTTTACAGAAGTATTTTGATACTAATATTAGAAGTAAATGTGATGGCGAGGAATTACGACAATGCTTAGTTTTATGCATTAAAATAAAAAAAAATTTCATATTTTATATTATTCTATGTTCAAATATTTTATGTTCAAAGATGATTTGACTTAAAATTGACTCAAGTTTTCCTAAGTACAAAAATTTCATTTTTTAAATAATTATCGAATCCATGGAGCATTGAAAAAAAGTTAGATTATTAAAATTTGCGGATATCTATTTAAAATTAATTCTTTTCCAAATAAAATCATTTTAAATATTCATTACTTTAAGATTACTATGATTCTAAATTAACGTTTTGTCAATATAATAGTACAAATAGTATAAGTATACAATTTTTTAATTGCACGTGACAATTACCCTACTCTTTCATTTCAATGTACGGAATAATTTTGATAAGTATCAGAAAAACGGTGATACTTCGCATGTGATTGCGCTAAGTAATGGCGTGCCTGTTATCATGAATATGCGACACCGAAATACTGATGACTGTGCATTTATTAATAATTTTACGTAAGTACAATTCAAATTACATTATACATATTTGGACAATGACACTACATTCGTATATTCGCATGTATAACAATATACATGCGTAATCTGTTATTATTATCAAATTAATATTAATTTCATATTAATTTATATTCCGAAGGGAAAATTTTATTTGTGATAAGAGAAATATTCATATATCTTTGCTTATCTATATATAAAAAAACGAAAAGATGTGATAAAGACATGTTAAAAAGACATATTCATGTTTTTGTTGATCATATATATTCAATAATAAAAATGAATACCGTTTGCATTTTGAAATTACTATTAATGATTTTTTTATTCATTCCTTGTAAATAGATTTGATTTATATCTCAATAGTTGTCATTGTCACAATCATCCTTTAGACTATTACATATTATCCCGCGATATAAGGTAATATGTGATTTTTGAAGAGGATAAGAAAATTTATTTTTATCCGTAAACAAGAAATAATTTTGGTTATTAATATTTTCTATTAATAATAGAACCTTTAAAATAATTATTCGTACAAGAATTAAATACAAATAATAAATATTAAGAAAATGGTACGTTGTTGAATTCCAACTTTGCGTTTTTTCGTCACTATTACTCCGGTTGACCCTATGTATAATTATTCTCCAAAATCATTATATGTGCTACATATAAGACTTACACTAGTAAAAGATTCTAAGGAGAGATCCATTATTTTTCCAACTGTAAGTGTCAATTGCTTTTGCGCTCTTAATATCACGAATATTAAAATACGGCTGTTTTTAGGTTTCATTTCGTACCAGACGGAATTGTACGCCGCGTTTCCGACAGCTTTACTCTAAAAATTTGAAAATCGTTAAAAAAGATTGTCCTAATATGTATTATAATTTCTTTTTTAACAACCTCAAAATAATCATTATTAATTATCCTCATAATTTTTTCCTCATGCTTAACTTTATTTTTCATATATTCTCCTGCGTAACAAAATATAAATGCTTCGAGATTCGTCACGGTGTAAAATAAAAGAGATCGTACAATGTGTTCCGTTGCATCAGTACTGTCAATTGCCTGTAATATTAAAGAAGCAATTATTAAATACGTTCCAAAATTATGAACAGATTTCTACGTCACTCTAACTAATCGCAAAAAGCTTATTTTGTGTAATAAAAATTTATGTTTAATTTTATAAAATGTAATATTTATTATTACGTGTAATACTTAATGTTTTCACTCGCCGTTACAATAAGAAATCCCAAAGAGCAAATCAGGATACTGTTCATTATAAATTGTATTAATGCGACGTATGTATATAAATCCTCAATGTATTCCGAAAAAATAATGATTCTTTGATGCTTGCGAATAATTCTTGTCGTGATCGCGACAGACTTGCATTCTTCACTTTCTCGTAGCACAAGTTCATTTAACCAGCAACGTAGAATATCTATCTGACCACCTACATGTAAAGTCTAAAAATAAAAATCATACATTCTATCTATCAATCAAATTAATACATTAAATAACGAAAAATATATTGTTTACAACAACAATATTAATTAGCAATTATTTTTAATTATTAATATGTATTATTTACATATGAGGAGTATATTTCGCAAGCGCTGCAACTTACCAAAGTTAAAAGCAAGGTATTCAATATACCTGTTCCACAGCTGCACAGGATGAGATGCACGAATTGCATGATCAGGAGCATTTTATACGCGCGTTTTGTGTTTATGTTGACAGGAAGCTCCACCTTTAGGAGGAGAGGTAATTCGGATTGCTCGGTAATGTCGACATCAGCCAAGAGAACGCCAATACTATATCCAACAATACTTAACGTATGAAGAGTGAACATCATATTAGTGATACGATCCGATAATTTAGCTTTGCACACCGTTTTGCGTATATTGATATTATTGCCAGTGCAATCGTTCCAGTCTTCTGTCATCATTGTCAAGATCTCAAAGAATTTTCTATAAATTATTAATTTGATTACATTACTGATAGATGGGAGAAATGTAAGAAAAATTTGTATATTTAGAGAAGTATACATTACTATTATATAAAGTAGTATTACATATAATTATGTATTTTTATTTATGTATTATTTTCTTCAAATGATATTTTAACCTTCTTATTTTTTTATATTTTGGCAAAATAAAATGTGAACAAAAATTTTTTACACGCTTTTTGTCAGAAATTTAAGAAAAACAAATATTTGTATATAACAAATAATGATTAGTAATATTTATTTGTTTATCTAAATATATATTAATTGTAATAAATATAGAAAGTAATGACAGAAAATTATGGAATTAACTTTTATAATATATATGCAAATTATTTATTGAGTAGCATTTATACTTGCCGTTCATTCAGCCAGAATATAATCAACTTAATTGTCAATTTTATTTGTGCTAAGAAACTACTGAAACAGTCCATCAAGTCAAAAAGATCATTAGAATGCAAATGCATTAAAAGATAACGGCAGTGACAAATATTATCTATTACTAATGCGATAATCCAATACGCTCTGCAGATTATAACACACGTTGTGCCTGGCCATATACCGCATAGAGTAAGCGTTAATTTTAACGTACGATTAATTGTACTTTTACGCGTCATAATCGCTTATTCCTTTCTCTTCACTTTCGTTTTTAAGCAAGGAAAAACATCAGTTAATACATAGATCAAACACTCTTTCAAGGAGGTAAAAGAACTGTTCTTTTTTTTCTTTATTTTTCTCTTTTAATGAATTGAATATTTCCCACTTAGTATTTTCCAATGAAAACTCGATGTATATTCTTGAATAATTTCATAAAGAATGGGAGGTCCTTCGAGATCATCATATGAGCGTACTCTACTACTATCAACCAATGAGAGTATCTCATTAAATATTTTCATCATGCAGCCCTCGCTCGCATACACTTACCGTAGTTTTTCACAACATCGATATAAGTAGAGAGAGATATGTAAGTTCATTTCTCCTTCCATTGGATAATGTAATCGCATATTATACAGTTTAAATATGCAATGATTCGCGAACATGCGCGCGATGTTGCATCTAACGGTCAGTCGCACTTCAGCGTATACTTTGGAAAGGTTTTGAAATTCATGCACCAAAGCAGCAGAAAAGCAACACAGAAACTCAAATGCAGTGCTAATGTATAAATATTTTCGAATACACAAAGCAGTTTACAGCGTATCTGTTTGCATTGATGTTTTAAAAGAAATCAACAAATGCATAAACTACGTAAGTAGCAATAGTTGTGAGGATAATGCAATATAATATTTCATATACGAAAGTACATGTTGAAGGATTGAAGAGTTGTGTATTCTAAATGGAAACTATGTTGGGAACACATAATTTTTCTGACAAAAAAAAATACTAACAAAAAAAATATCATGACTTCTGTGTACAATTTTCCATATGTAATTAATAATTATTTTACATTCGTCTACAAATATATTTAGAAAATATTTACTATGTATATTATATATTTATATGTATATATATATATATATATATTATGTTCTAATTTTTCTAATGAAAAACGTCGATTTTTATTTAATCACTTAATTTTTTCATGCAACTTTCACTTAAGAACTTAGTTACATAACAGATACTGCGACATTTATTTCATTGCCAGTAGTACCGATAAATACGATCCTGAAGCCTTCATAATCTAAAACAGCGTGAATATCATCAATGACGAAGAAAAATATATATGCATTATTATCAGAAATATTTTATTTCAAAACATGTACATCTCAGAAATGTAATTTTTGAGTTATTATGAAAGAGTTGAGTAATCATTAGACTTTCATTTATTAAATGTGATCTATCTTAACTTCATAAAAAAATCGTCACAATTGAAAAACAGATAGTAGATGTAGATTCTCAATGGTTGAGAAAAATACTGTTATTATAAAAAAATTTACTTTAATACTTTAATAGAAAATTTGAACATTTAAGTGTATATATTTTTGCCGATATGATTGCTTAGTGAATACTTTATTAACAAGTATTGAAAAATATTTCCTTTTTGGAAAATTAACTTGATGATATGTTTTACTTTTGATACAAGGAAGACATACAGCTATACATATACAAAAATTTATTATAACTGAAAAATTTCTATCTCTCTCTGAACAATAATAATATTATTCGCTGATGGATAAAAACATATTATAGGTAATTATATTATGTTATTATACATCAAGAAATTAAAAATTTTTTTTCTTTATTTGTTACACATATATCTTACATTTGTAAAGCACTCAAAGGAAAGAACGGTCATCTTGCCCGCCGTAAGCTTCAATTGTCTTTGAGATCTTAAAATTATAAATAATAGAACACGACTATCTTTAGCTTTCATATCGTACCAGGCAGAATAATTGTACGCTGCATTTCCGATCGCTTTGCTCTATAAAAAAATACTCTATATATAATAGAAATAAGATAAATAGAAATTTTTAAGTATTTCTCTCTCAATATTGATATCAATATCACAAAACATTAAATTATCTATACAATCCTTTTATTGCAATCAAAATAATCTTCCGTTGCTAACCTTATTGTTCAGATATTCTCCAGCGAAGCAAAATATAAATGCCTCGAGATTCGTTACAGCATAAAATAAAAGAGACCTCACTATTTGATCAGTGGCATCGGGACTGCCGATTGCCTACAATGTAGATATAAAAAAAATGAAAATAATGAAAAATGAAAATAAACATATTCAACACATGGACAGTTTTATTTCAATTTATTATAAATAATAATTTATAATAAATTAAATAATGCGGTATAATATAGATACGCAACGGAAAACATAAAAAATTAACTAATTGATTCTAAGGCTGAATGTGTATTTTTATATATGAAATTAAAATAATTTTACTCACAGTCACAATAAGAAATGCTAATGAGCAAATCATCACTATATTTGATGTGAATTGAAACAAAGCGATATATGTATAGAGATTTTCAATATTCTCCGAAAGATTGATAATTTTTTGATGTTTTTGAATGATTTTCGTTGTGACAGAAACGAACGAATCATGCTTGTCTTCGATGTCTTTGGATCCAAGTTTCGACAACCAGCAAAGCAGGATGTTTATTTGACTGCCCACGTGTAGAGTCTACTAATAAAGATTCTGTTTAGGACCATGTGATTACAATTATTCGTTAAATAATAAAAATATTATTATGAGAATACAATAAACCAAACAAGAATGAATTAAACCTGATGAATATTTCATTTTCGAGTTTATATCCTAATATTTATGAAAATAATTTAGAGTGAGCTATTAATTACAAATATAATTATATTTTGCTTATGGTTATTACTTGCTTATGTAGGTACAGGTTACCAGAGTTAGAAACAGAGCGTTGAATAAACCAGCTCCCCAACTGCACACCATCACGAAAACGAATTGCGTAACTAATACCAAACTGTACTTGCGTTGCGTGTCTATAACGAAAGGATACTCCATTTTCATCATGAGAGGGAGTTCAACCGTTCGATCGGTGACATCGGCATAGGTCAGAAGGATACCAATGACATATGAAAACGCGGCGATTGTATGAAGAATAATTAATCCATTACAAATACGACTTGATAGTTTCGTTTTGTCTGTTGTTTCGCGTAATGCAATGCCATCGTTATCACAATCATTCCAGTCTTGCGTCATTGTTATCAAGATTTCGACGAATTTTCTACAAACAATCGGATATTTTAGAAGTTTCAATTTTTTTTAACGTTATCTTTTTAACAAAATTTTAATTATTTAATTGATTAATTGTCACTTACCGTTGTTTCAACGAGAAAATAATAAGTTTAACGGTTAGTTTTATATGCGCCAAAAAGCTACTCAGACAGTCCATCAAGTCGAAAAGATTGTCGAAGTGAAAGTGCGTTACAAAGTACGAGTAGTGAAAGAATTGATTAATTGCTAGCGTAATCATCCAAAATACTCTGTAGAATATAACGCATGATATACCTGGCCAGACACCGAACATGGTGAGCATAAGTTCTACTGTGCGATTGATCGTACGATTATTCCTCATAATTTCTTGTTTTTTTTCTGCAGTTGTCTATGTAGAAGTCAGTGCATCAAAATCGAAGAATATTCTCAAAGTATAAGAAACATGTGTGTTCTGGCTGAAATTATGTTCTCCACGACTTGATGTATGTTATAAAAAATTTGTGTGAAGACTGGAATTCTAAGAACAACATGAAGCAAAGAGCTCTCCCTTAGGAGATTAACCAATGATGGTTGTTCATTAAATATTTTTATTGTACTGCATGCGCACAAAGAAGCAATCTCTTGTACGTAATTTAAAAAAAGAGAATGATCAGAGTCGTCTCACGTTTTGTTTAGTGCAGACGATATACTCGCGAATAATTTGCATAAATATATAATGATATGTAGTAATCTATACGATGTATATACCTTTGCTAGCAAGACGCGATCTTGGGAAAGTATTAAGATCTAAAGGACAGAAAAGATTCGAGAGAAAATATAAAGAAATTGGCCAAGTAATTGTGCACAAAATATTATTTATTTATAGAGTTTTAACTTCTCACAAAATCACCTTTAAAAAAGAAAACCACTTGTCGATGAATATTTTTCACGTAAGACAGTTATGCGCATATGTAACTTATTTACTTTAATAATTCAGAGTGCCATGAAAGGGGCGATTGTACATCGAAATCAAACTCTTGCTTTAAAATCTCGGTAAAATTAAAAATATAGAAGTATAAGGTACTAAGAAATAAAATAAAATAATTAAATATCATATATGTAAATTATGCGATCGTATTCTTTGAATCTTAATTATCTGTAACATATTTTTCTCAGATAAAAAAAGAGAATTTAATATCAATTTTACAATTAAAATCATGAATTAATTCATATTACTGATTTGCACGCACATTCATGTTGCACTTGCACGTTCCAATAATAAAAGTAAAACAAATATTACGATGGTTGAGCAAAATACGATTTTTATTCAATACGTGCATTTATTTATAATATATATGGCTATCCAGAAGATACTGAAGACAGTTTTAGCGAAATTCTGTGATAGAATGGATTTGTTTGTTTTCACATGTGTACTATAATCGACAACTATTTTTCTTCCAGTTCATCAATATCTTATGAATGTTCTATAAGTGATTTTATCAATTATCATAATATAATAATAAAAAAAATATTAATTTTTTTGGGCTACTAGATGTACAAAAATTTATATAATGTTATACATAAATAATATGATTAAAAATAATATAGTGTCTTTCTTTATAAAAATATAATTAACATATTTTTAGTATTTAAATTATAGATATTATAAATATATTTAAATATATTTTTGTCTTAACGCTGATTGAATCAGAAAATAACGAGTTTAAAAGAAAATCAGCTAAATCTCAAAGTTGCACTTAAATCATCCATCGAAGAGATCAATAGTGTGTAAGTGCAAAATAATATATCGATATTGTACACATCAAATAACCACGAAATAACCACAATTGTTCAAAACAGTCTACAAAATGGAATACGGCAAACCTGGCCAGATACCAAATATACGAAGTGGAACTTCTATGATTCGGTTGATAGTGGTAGGTACTTGTAAATATTTGTTTCATATTCTTTGTTTTTAATTTGTTATAATATACTTCAATTTCTTACATATAACCAATTATTTAACTATTTTTTAAATATTTTTTCTAAAAATGGAAATGTGTGTAAAACTGGACATGGACGCTCAAGTCACATCGGATTGCTAATTTTCATTAATTTAATTTTGATTATTGACTGAAAATACTATTGACTTATATAAAATATTGATATGACAATATAATACAGTATGATTATTTTACAATTCTTTTCAAAGAAAATAGAAGTCTAAGGTACCTTGATAACGTTAAAAAAATGATTTATTTTATATTCCTCTGTACATTATTATGATTTTAGAATATTCTAAATTATACTATTATTTAGGCTACAAAAATATGTCGTACTATATATATATTTCTACTATATATGTATTTCTACTATATGTATTTCTTTATCACTAGAGAATATATATTTATATTTATACAATATTTATGCTTCACGACTATTATATAAAAATTATCAAATATGCTTATTGCATAGTAAGCACTACTGATAAATATGATCGTGCTATCATGTTTTATAATAAAGTTTATAAACATTTTGTTAGTTATAAAATATTAATTGGAAATTAATATTTTAGGAGGAAATTATAATTTTGTCGCCAAGAAAAATGCGTTTTAAATATTGGTATAAAACATTTACAAACATTTTAATTTAATGGATTGGCAGAAAAAAATTTACGTAGACAAAATGTAAATTTTATATAGAAAATATTCTGATACAAATGATAGTGTCGACCGGGATATCTTGTGACGGCTAAGTAATTGCGACGATACTTAGTTTTATGCATTAAAATTCAAAAAGACTAATTTATATTATTTCATATTGAATAATGATTTGACTTTAAATTGATACAAGTTTTCCTAAGTATAAAAAAAATTTTATTATATAATTATTGAATGCATAAAGCGTTCTAAAAAAATTAGATTATCAAAGTTTGCAGATATTTATTCAAAGTTAATTCTTTTTCAGATAAAGTCATTTTAAATATGATATTCATTAGTTTACTATAATTCTAAATTAACGTTTTGACAATGTTATAGGACTATTAATAGTATAAGTATACAATTTTTTAATTATACATGACAATTCAATGTATTAGGTAATTGTGATGATAAGTATCGGAGAAACCGCTCCGCACGAGATTTCGCAAGTAATGACTTGCCTCTTATCACGAATGCGATTCGTTGAAATATTGATAATTATGCGTTTATTAATAATTTTACGTAAATACAATTTAATATCATACTTTAGACAATTAGCACTATATTTGTATAACATTAATATACATGCGTAATTCATTTTTATTATCAAATGAACATTAATTCTACGTCAATGATTTGTAACAATTTTGAAGTTATAAATAAGAAAACAAATATTATAGATATTTTCTTGTTATTTTTTCTTAACTCTCAATGTCACTGTTTCTTAACTTTCAATCTCATATAAAATACATAATTTTGTGATATTATAAAGTATTGTATTATAAAGTTTGTTAGCAAATGTTTAATTATTATACATCATGCCACAAAACTATATTCAAGAGAGAAAGAAAGTTATGTTTGTGATAAGAGAAATATTCGCATATTTTTGCTTACCTATATGTAAAGAACAAAAGACATGTTAAATGTTAAAAAGACATGTTCATTTTTGATGATCATATATATTTTAATAATAAAAATGAATATTATTTTGTAATTACTATTAAAGCTTCATTTCTTACAAACAGATTTGATTCATATCTCAATAATTGTCACAATCATCCCTTAGACCGTCATATATTATTCCGCGATATGAGGTAATATGTGATTTTTAAACAGAATAAGAAAATTTATTTTTATACATAAACAAGAAATAATTTTGATTACCAATATTTCCTATTAATAATAGAATATTTAAAATAATTATTCGAATATGAATTAAATATAAATAATAAAAATCAAAAAAATTTCACATTGTTGAATTTCAGCTTCGCATTTTTCGTCACAATTACCCCGGTTGACTCTATGTGTATAATTATTGTTCAAAATTATTTTGTGTGCTACCTATAAGTCTTGCACTTCATTGAAAAAATTTTAAGGAGGGATCCATTATTTTTTTAACTGTAAGTGTCAATTGCTTTTGCGCTCTTAATATCACGAATATTAAATTACGGCTGTTCTTAGGTTTTATTTCGTATCAGACGGAATTGTACACCGCTTTACTCTAAAAAGTTCAAAAACCGTTAAAAGAGATCGTATTATAATTTTTTTTTAACATTCTCAAAATAACTGTTATTGACTATTGTCATAATTATTTTCTCATACTTAATCTTGTTTTTACATTCTCCTACGTAGCAAAATATAAATGCTTCAAGATTCGTCCACGGTGTAAAATGAAAGAGATGTCACTATGTGCTCCATCGCAGCGGAATTGCCAATTGTCTGCAATATTAAAGTAGCAAATATTAAATTCTAAAATTATATATATAATATATAGATTTCTATGTCAATGGAATAGATTTTTACGTCACTTTAATCGCAAAGAACTTATTTTGTAATGAAAATTTACATTTAATTTTACAAAACGTAATATTTATTATTATGTGTATTACTTAATGTTTTCACTCGCCGTTACAATGAGAAATCCCAAAGAGCCAATCAGGATACTATGCATGATTGTAAATTACACTAACGCGATGTATGTATACAAATCCTCAATGTATTCCGAAAAATTAATGAAATTCTTTGCTTGCAAATAATTCTGGTCGTCATGACCGCGATCCTTCGTTTCCTCATAGCACAAGTTCATTTAACCAGCAACGTAGAATATCCATCCGACCACATACATGAAAGTCTAGAAATAAAATTTATACATTGTCTTTCAATCAAATTAATACATTAAATGACAAAAAAAATATTGTTTAAGATATTAATTAGTAATTATTTTTATAATTATTAATATATATTACTTAAAAAAATATAAAAATATATATGAGAAGTATATTTCGCAAGCGCTGCAACTTACTAAAGTTAAGAGCAAGGCATTCAATATACCACAGCTGTACATGATGAGATGCACGAATTGCATGTCAAGAGCATTTTATACGCGCGTTTTGTATTTATGTTGACAGGAACTCCCACCTTTAAGAAGAGAAATAGTTTGGATTATTTGATGATGTCAACATCAACCAAAAGAACGTCAATACTATATCCAATAATATTTAACGTATGAAGAGTGAACATCGCATTACTTATGATCCGATAATTTAGCTTTGCATGCCGTTTCACGCATATTGATGTTACTGTCAGTACAATCATTCCAGTCTTCTGCCATTATTGTCAAGATCTCAAAAAATTTTCTACAAATTATTAATTTGATTATTCTGCCAACAAAATGTAACACACAAAAGCTTGTGTATTTAGAGAAGTATATAGTACTATTGTGTAAAATACACATAATTATGTAAACAAATTTTTATTTATTTGTATTATTTTATTTGCATTACTTTCTTTAAATGATATTTTAATTTTCCAATTCTTTTTACATTTTGGCAAAATAAAATGTGTACAAAATTTGTTTTCTCGCATTTTGTCAGAAATAAAAAAAAAACAAATATTTATATATAACAAATAATTATTATTAAATATTTCATTTACTTAATTTATCTAAGTAAATATATTGATTGTAATACATATAGAAGTTCATAATAGAAAATAATGGAATTAACTTTGAGTAATATACAGAGTGTCCTAAAATTTGTGCATTCAGAATATAGGACATGATGACTTTATGCTAAAACAATCAATTTTTCCTTTTATAAAATTGACAAGTAGTTTTTGCAGAACAGCAGGTTGAAGTTATATAAGTAAACGCAAAAATTATTTATTTATTGAATAATTTATTGAATAATTCTATTATTCGAAAAGGTTATTTATTTCAGCACAAAAAATAATTGTTTCCTTTAACAAAATTATGTATAAGTAGTTATTGCAGACAAGCAAGTTGAAGTTAATAAATAATCGCAAAAATTATTTATCCGATCGCAATTTTGCTAAAGGAAAAAGTTATCTGTTTTAACATGAAATATCATGTTCTGCGCTGTAATTTTGAGACACTTTGTAAATGCAAATTATTTCCTGTGTAGCATTTATACTTACCGTTTATTCAGCCAGAATATAATCAACTTAGTTGTCAATTTTATTTGTGCTAAGATACTACTGAAACAATTCATCAAGTCAAAAAGATCGTTAGAATGCAAATGCATTAAAAGATAATGGCAGTGACAAATATCATTTATTATTAAAACAATAACCCAATATCTACTGTAGATTATATCAGATGTTGTGCTGCAAAGAGTGAGCGTTAATTTAATGTTAACTTTAATGTACGATTAATTGTACTTTTACGCGTTATAATTTCTTATTTCCCTTCGCTTTCGTTTTTATGCGAGGAATTTATACATAGGACAGATGTTCTTTCAGGGAGAAAAAAGAACTGTGTTCTCTCTTCTTTTATTTTTCTTTCTTGTTCAGTATTTAATATTTCCCACTCAATATTATATCCAATGAGAACTCAGTATATATTGTAGAAGATTCTTCAAGATCAAATGGATACTCTCTACTATCGGCCAATGAGAGTATCTCATTAAATATTTTCATCATGCAGCCCTCACTTGCATATACTTATCGTAGCTTTTCACAATGTCGATATAAGAAGAAAGAGAATAATAGGTTCATTTCTCCTTCCCTTAAATACTGGTAATCGCATATTATACAGTTTAAATATGCAATAATTCGTGCGAACATGAACGCGACGACGCATGCACACTGACAGTCAGTCGCACTTCAACGCACGTTTTGGAAAAGTTTTGAAATTCAAAGCTTCAAAGCAGTAGAGAAACAACAAAGAAACTTAAGTGCAATGCTAACATATAAGTATTTTAGAATACATAAAGCATTTTGCAGCGTATCTGTGTACGCTGATGTTTTACAAGAAATCAACAAGTGTATAAACTGCATAGGTTCCACACCAAATAATTGGTATACAATATATAATAGTATTTTGTATATGAAAGTATGTTGAAGGATTGAGCAATTGTGTGCTCTAAAAACTATGTCAAAATACATAGTATTGCTCACATTAATGAAAGAAATATCATGATTTCTGTGTTACAATTTCCTATATACTTAATAATTA